CTCTGCGCGCCGCCTCCCGACGTCCCTCACGCCTTTCCCGTCACTTTGCGCCTGCGAAACCACCTGCACCCCCAGCTGCAACCTACCTGCATCTGCTGCCCATCGTCTTCCTCGCTGCCGTCTTGCCTTACCTTGAGGCTTGCCCCCAAAGCAACCGCATCCCCCAAAATTTCGACACCAATTCAATTTCCTCATCGCATCATCCAACGACCACTGCGTATATTTGTCGACTGGCAGTATTGAGGGACCGATAATCCGCAAAGGGAGGAATCGAGAGGGAACAAACAGCTAGCTGTCAAGAAGACAACCAACCGTTGCCTCGAAATCAGCTGAGAAGAAAGTCGCATCGCGTCGACGGGGGAAGGATCGAAATACGAGGCTGCGAAACAGGACCCGCTTGCTCAACCAGCCACCCGACAACATATTCCTCACCTTCGCCAACTTTTGCGAACAACCATCAACCTCAACCAACTCTAAGAACGAGAGGAGCAGATCGGACTTGTAGCTACCGGCTGACCGTTACCGTTTTGCCGCCTCGCCGTTCCATGTACACCTCAACAACGCGACTCTAATACTAGTTACGCCGTTCGAATCCACTCGCCCTCGAGACATCAACGCCTTTGTTCTTGCCGCCTGCAAAAGCACCTGAATTTGGGAACACTTGACGTTCAAAGGAAAGGGACACCCATTGGCACGTAGCTGTTAGTCTCGCCGCAAACGTCAGCCACCATGGGTTCAACACAGTTTGGCAACTTTTTTGTAAGTTGTGCCCACCATCTTGTCGCATACCGCGTGGTGCTGACCATGTCCACAGAACTTCTGCCGAGACTCAACACTACCCGTCTGCAATGTATGTTGAATTCTTCATCGACATCTCGCGATATGCATCTGATGAGCTTTCGCGAGCTTCGGCAACCTAAACTAACCGATTCTTCCTCAGGTGCTATCCGACAGCCATAGTCAAGCTGGCCCGTGGGACCAATGTGTGTTGAAGGGTATCTCCCTCAGCGGAGGCCGCAAGCTGGGAAATCTCGGCTCAATTCTCATTGCCGCCCTTGCTATTGTCGTGACACTTTTTCTATTGCTGCGGTCTGAGCGGAAGAAGGCTGCAGTAGGTCGGAGGTAAGCCCGTGACGTCGCTCAAGCATTGCGCACGACCGGCAAGCTAACCTTGATGCACAGGGAAATGCAACTGTTCCTTGTCAGCTTTATCATTATTGAAATATGCGAGATCTTCACCGTTGGAGACTTTCCATTGGCGGAAAACGTTCGAATAGTTAGTTTCCCGGTTGAGGCTCTAACTTTGTGGGAGCAATTATCCTGATTGACGTATAGGCTTTCACTGGAATTCATCTTGGTATGATTATTGCATCGACCTGGATCCTCATGCTCAACGCGGTCGTTGGCTACCAAATCGTCGACGATGGAACGCCTATGTCCATGGGCCTGATCATTGCCTCCGCCACTATTCTCTTGGGCGGTACGCTTTACATCACGCTTGATACCGGCTTCAAGTGGACGGGTTACTGGGACTCTTCGTACACTGCGCCGAACCGCCACATTGCTCTCTACGTCCTGTACCAGCTTGCGCCGCTAATTTTCCTTGTCGCATTTTTCGTTCTCGAAGCTATCCTCGTCGTTCGGGTTCTCGGCGAGATGCGGCCGATGATCTACTTGACGGCAGCCTTGCTACTCTTTGCCATTGGTCAGATCTTCAACTACGTTGTGAGCTCTCACATCTGCAATGGCACCAATGGTGCGATTGACGGCGCGCTATTCGAGACCTTGTTCACCCTGCTTGCTGTCGTGGCAGTCTGGGTGTTCTGGTCTAGCATCACCGAGGATGATTGGCCCATGCCTGTCGGAACCACCTTCCCCTAGAAAGGAGGTCACTCTACTATCAAAAGGGAAAACGGTATGATGAGACCGTACGCAAACAATTTGTCGAGCACTTGAACAGCGAAGTCCGCGCGACAATGTGGCTGCTGCTTACTTGCAAAGCAGCGATGGGCAGGCCGTATGTCTGGGGTCACCATTCATGCCGTAGCAGTGAGTCCGCTTATCCTCGATGGCGCGCCATGCCCAGCTGTGTCTTTCCGCTGTGAAGATTCGGTCGCCAGCCGCCTTCCACCAGGCCATACAGCCGCGAACCGATGACGATGCGCGAGGTTGAGCTAGTGGCATGGAGCCCACGAGGATGCACAATATGGCCGCACCCATAATCGATCCTGGAGACACCCATGTCGACTCTGGATATTTTCTTTACACTCTTTAGCACCGGTCAACCCAAATGGTCGAACGACGTGCACGAATTTTGAATACCGAGGGCATGCGATAAGACACATGCTGAATATTTCATAATTTTCAATCTCACCTAATCCTGAGAGATTTGAGATGGTAATGAGACGAAATGCTGCCTCGGCAGTATAAATCAGCGGAGAAGGAGAGGAGAGATGCCTTTGGGGCATGTTTATGACCTTTGGAAGAGGATTCCATGTTTGAAAGCGCAGATGCATGAGACGATGAATGGACGCGCGAGACGTCTCGTCTTGTTTGTACAGCGTGGTGATTTTGATATTCTACGTATTGGCGGACAGTATACCCCAGAGGAGCGACTAATGTATATGAAAGTCGAATGATGGAATTGACAGATGAATGGTTTACTTACAAGTTTTTGTCTGAAAGATCGTGATTATTCCTGTATAAGTTATAAGCGCGCCACATGCCTGTAACGTTTTGCTAACGCCAGAAATAATCATCCCCAATGGTCAAATTGTTGTGATGTCCGCAAAGTCGATCTCGTTGGTCATGCAGTCATGTACTGCTCAACGTTCAGTTCCCATACGGACCGAGTAACCATCGACGTCTCCAAAGTCCTTCCGCACGTAGCTGGCCAACCTTGGGCTTTCTGATGAGGCGGTGGGAATGTTTTCAATTGCGTCTGGGTAGACATGCGATGTTGAACAGACAAAGGTTAGGTAAAGAATCAAATAATCACTATGCAACTTGCAAACGCTACGAGAGAATTCGACAGATTAGTAACGACGCCTGACAGCGACAGACCCACGCGATTCGATCCCATGGTGTGAATTCTCAAAAAACAACCCTACAAAGCAGACGCTTATGCGATCTTGACTTTAACCAAAGTACAAAACTTCCCGTTCCCTTCAGATAAGCTTCGCTGGTATCCCTTTTCTGCCCTTCTCGTTTGTTGTTTGAGGCGAATTGATCTAGGTTAAAGTGACTTGCGAAGACCGGCACCCATATTGAGCCAGTACCAATGAAGCCGTTTTCCGCCAGAATCAAGACGAGAAACCAAGCTTCTGCTTTTGCACGCGCGGGATGATACCCACGAGGATCAAGAGAGAAGTTACGACGACAGCCCAGAGCTTCAGCTTCAATACATTATAGTTGAAACCGGTGTCAATGGCTGTCGCAGCCGTCACGAGTAGAAGCACAAGAACGACGTAGCCGCTCCAGCGGTGGTACTTCCAAATTGACTTGGCGGTATCCTCGCCTCCGTACAACTTCGGGGTAGCCCACATTGTGAAGCCGACAATGTACTGCAACAAGAGGATGATGGAGACGGTGACGCCGAGGTAGCCGTGGACGGAGTGGAAGTGGGAGTCTGGGCCCTGCAGGTACTTATTGTACTCGATGATGCCGACGCCGGCGACGAGGAAGAGAAAGGCGAGCAGGTTGAGGCCGGCGTGAACGCGCTGGCCGATGCGCTTCTGCTCGGGAGTGTGCGTCGGCTGCAGCGAGAGGATCGACTGGGTGAGGGTGAAGATGGCGAGACTCTGCGCGAGCGGGTGGCCGGAAAAGAGGATTACGTCCTTCGTCAGCACGGCGGCCCAGATCATGGCAACGAAGATGACGGCGCCGAATTGGGCGATGATACCGGTGCCTGCGAAGGTTTACAAATCAGCAGCCACCCGGAAAACCTCAAAGGGAGACGGGGTGTGGCTGGGGGGAAAACATCATACCGATAATGAGGTTCCTGGCGATGAATTCACCCGGTTCTTGCTGGGCGTCGCCGGGTCGACCGAGAAGAGGCTCAAACTCGTTATCGCCATCGCCTCGTGGGGGTGGTTCTGGAAGTCCTGTGGCAGAAGACATGATCGTTGGCGTAGTCGCGGTTGTCTTTGTTGTTGGGAGTTACAAAGAGGGCCTCGGGAAATGGGTCTCGGGGAATGCGTTGTATTTCTAGGAGCGAGGGCGCAAAGCTACGACAGATCTATTCTCGATTGTCGCGATAGGAATCGCGATTGTTGTAGTCAGGAAGGATGAAGAGATCAAGTTGGGACAAGCACACAGGGCGGTGTTGAAGTATGGCCTAATTGCCGTGATTACGGAGAGCCGGGTTTGGAAGGAGGAGAAGGAAGATGAGGGAAGGGACGGCATTTTGGCGGTCGGAAAAGGTACAGAGAAGTCGTCGATGGCGGCATCGATGACGGCGAGGTTGTCTCGAGCTGTGACCTATCGGAGGCCGTGTATTTCGGATTGAGCAGTGGTTGCAGGGGGTGATTGCAGGGAACGGTGCGCTAAACGTTGGAGGTGGGGTAAGGTCGGTAACCTGCCGCTACCGGTCCGTTGCTGTAGAATTCGGGGTGAGGATACGTACCGTGCTGGTATAAGCACCAGAAGCACAAACCAGGCAACCGCTAACATCGATCTCACCCACCATCCTGCACGCATATGGCCACCTCATTGCGCACAAAAGACGCTAAGGCCGGTTGCTCTCAAGCTTTCCCCCAGCATGGGCCGGCTCGCATTGTTGTTGCCATTTAGTCGTCTATGCATTCGTCTGCAGGAGGGGCGGAGGTTCGGCTTCTGTCTGGGTGATGACTGTTACTCCCGTGGACAAATGGAGGACCACAACGCTCTTTCAGCGATCTCGAGGCGAAGAAGAGGTAGAAAAGGTCAACCCCAGTTTCTGGCGGGTCGGGTAGGTCCAACGGTCTCCCATCTGCCAATGACGAGAGTTCTGAGGATGATACCTATGCGAGGTGTGCTCGGGAGTTGGACCTCGCGTCGAAAATGACTGCCTTGTCTTGGCCCCATAGCAGTATGTAGACAACCTGACAACCTGGAACCGCAGGTAGTGTGCGTGTCATCTATCTCACGAAAGGTGTGGAAGGAAGTGCTGGTGTCGTCGGTGATGACCCCTCAAGCGACCTCTCTTACCAACTACTTGTTCACGACAACATTTGCCCTTACTTGTGTAGTCTAAGGCTGGTTACTTCCCACGTGATGGACCGAGGGGTACCTCTTACCCTCCGTCGCTTCTCTTCCTCGATTGTTCCTAGGCGATATGCGACACCCTCCCGAGCGAACAGCAGCAGCATCTCCCCGTGATGGACGACCCTGCCGACGACGATGACGGTTGTCGGAGCGGTCAACGCTATATCTTATCAGATTCTCAAAGTCACGGGGTGATCGACGTTTGAAGTGTTGTAGACTTTCATGTTGCAGGCTGTCACTGAAGTACATGTACACACACACATATACACGCTGGCATAAAGTAAAGATGGAAGCAGAGAGAGGGTCATGAAGACATGAAAACAGGAAGAGGGGCATGGTTCCACCTACATATAATTCTACACACAGACTGCCAGTAACTATACACGGATCTAAAGATCGGAGAGTCTTCCGAATGGTAGCATCTCAGAGCCTCCCGTCCGGCCTTGGCTCGCATATCGGCTTCCACCGCGTACCTCATCGTCCCCAATTTCTCGGCGCCAATTCTACCAGGAGCCTCCCGTCCCGCCCCGCCGACCGAATAGCGGGGTTCGCACCGTCACACTGGACTCACGGGCGCTCAGTGCCACTCGAACTGGGCCGATGGGATTGCGGGGAAAAAAGCAGCAAACCTGTGTGTCACTGTGGTCACTGTGAACGGGTAAAGTCGCAGATTGGTCCGCCGTCTGGCTGTTAGCACAAGGCAGGTACGTTAATTACCTGATTCAATCGAATCATTACGCCTTTTTTCTGCTTATCGCGCCCCGCGCCGTCACTGCCCGCTGGCCGCCGGCCGCCATCAACCCCTCCAAACCCCTCCAATGCGGCCGTCAGCTGTGGCCGCCCGACCTCGGAACTGGCCGCTCGGCGTAGATTCCACGTCCAGTCGGGTGCTTGAAGAACAATGGGAGAAGGGGGCGGGCGAGGCGCCGAACGGCCAAAGCCCGTGACTCTTGCGCGAGACTTTTACTTCTCCTCATCCGACAAACATTCACTTTCACTTTCATCTCACACCTCTCATCCTCTTCCATTCACTCAGTCTACAATTTGCAAACTCCAGGTTGTGATACCATCTATCTAGATATCCTCACAGAACTCACATCTTGGGTGAAACTCTGACCCCGCGCCCGACGTATTCTGCCCCTCTTCAATTCTCTCAATACCACGCATTTCAGCCTTCATCATGGCCAGCGAACAAGAATACACCCTCGAGCAGGTCAAGGCTTCCAGGGTCGCCTCAGATGATATTGACACAACATTCCGCTCAAGCAGCATTGGTAAGTAATGAGTGAGACGCCTCATCGTCCACGCCACCTCGTACACACATACGACAACCTTGTCATGACAAAGAAACAAAAACTGAACCTTCCCTTCAGACTTGATCTCTGCTGCCCTGGGTGGAAAGATTCTCGCCTTCTCAGACGAATGGTTCGCCGAGGCCACCAACTTGTTGACGCCGACCGCGCCCATCAGGCAACCGGGAAAGATGGTCTACACCGGCGCCTGGTACGACGGCTGGGAGACCAGGCGTCACAACACGGAGCCCTTTGACTGGGTCATTGTCCGTCTTGGTGTTGCGTCCGGCACTGTCGAGGGTGTCGAGGTCGACACCGCCTTCTTCTCTGGTAACCACGCCCCCTCAATCTCGGTTGAGGGCTGCTTCAACCTCAACGACGACGAGGTCGTCTCATGGAAGGGTGGCAGGGGCCAGTGGGAGACGATTCTCGGCAACGAAGAGTGTGGCCCGTCGCAGCGCTTCGGATGGAAGCTGGCCGAGCCCAAGCAGAAGCAGTACACTCACGTCCGCCTGAACATGTACCCGGATGGTGGTATTGCCAGATTCCGTCTCTTTGGCCACGCCGTGCCCGTCTTCCCCGACGACAAGGAGGCCATCTTCGACCTGGCTGCCGCCCAGAACGGCGGCGTCGCCATCTCCTGCAGCGACCAGCACTTTGGCACCAAGGACAACCTTCTGCTGCCTGGCCGCGGCAAGGACATGGGAGATGGATGGGAGACGGCCAGATCGCGCAGCAAGGGCCACGTCGACTGGACTATTATCCGTCTCGGCGCTCCCGGTTACGTGCAGAACGTCGTTGTCGACACGGCGCACTTCCGCGGCAACTTCCCGCAAAAGTCAAAGATTGATGCCATCTCGTGGACCGAGAGCGGCGAGCCGGGCGCGGACGCCGCCGGCTGGACGGAGATTGTGGCGCCTAGCAAGTGCGGACCGGATGCGGAGCACGAGTTCCCCAGCGCCGTCAAGGACAAGGCATTCACGCACGTCAAGATCACCATTATTCCGGATGGCGGAGTGAAGAGACTGCGCGTCTTTGGCAAGAGAGCATAGACGTTGCGTGTTGAAAACAGGAGCTTGTTACGTATTCTGTGTCTGGATCCTACGAACAGGGTTTGCAAGCATGGAAGCAAGCATAGGCCGCGGGGGAGTAAGAGGCAAAAGCATAACCAAAGACGAGGATAGATAAATAAATCTCGAAAAAAAACAAAACTGAAATAAGCGAATAAGGGGTAAACTTGATGCCAGGACCTACCTTGCTCCCTCGTGTCTGTGTGTGTGAGTGTGCATGCAGCCGGTCTTTGAGTGATTTGGCCGTGCTGGCTGATCATTAGGGGCATTGGCCAGAAGAGAGATGAAGGGGTCAGTCTTAAGGCATTTCTACTATTCTTAGGCATCTCTACCGCAATAGAGGCTTGAAGATGAGTACATTACATAGCAAACCAACGGCAGGCATATTATGTATGTTTTACCTCAGGGTAATGGTGCCGAGGAGGGGTTCTCAACTTGACAGGAGAGAGCGATCTTCAGTTGGTAAAGTTCCGTCAGGGGAAGCTTGGTGTGACACTGCACAGCTAGGGCATGCACGGTCCATACGTACCTAAGGTAAGGTACTCTTCTGCAACAAGGTAAGGTACCTACATACTCTGGCACTGGTTGGAGTTAGGCGGGGGAGCTTCCTTGAGCGTTGCTGTTCAGGCAGTGGATGAGAGGTGAGGTAGCACGGTAGGCACGGATGGGTGCCCGCCGTAATCAATTAGTGACATCAACAGCCCGATCGCCCGTCGTTCATCTACCTGAACTTGGCCCCGTTGGCGTGGACCGTTGCGGGACTCGGGTACCGAGAGTCCTTTCCTATGGGCCAGGACTGGGTCCGGGACTGGGCACACAGCTCACAGCACACACAACTGGAGCAAGTGGATTGGACACGGAACAACACTTCGACATCACACGACAGTAGCGGCGCCGAGCGCTATTTCGTTCCTGTTCAACTACCTACCTTTACTTCAACTACTTATCCAGTGCTGGGAGACAGGCCTCGCCCGACATCACAGCTTTTTTGGGAGCCACGAAACTTTCCGTGCGCCGTTTCCCACAAACACCCGGCCCGCATCTTACCTCGAAACTCGCGCCGCATAAAACAATACCCTCGGCCGACTCATTAATGCCTACCGGGCCTCCTGGTTGCCCCTCCTCCCACCATGGACTTCGAGGACGCTAGTGGTGGTTTCGGCGACAAGAAGCCACGCCCACTGCCAGACGACCTGCCCAAGTCTCTCAACGACCGCAGTCGCCGTCCCGTCGAGTTGGTTCCAGAGACGGAGATGTATGATGGATGGCAAGGTTAGTTGAGGTTCCCACGTCATCCGCACACTGCCCATGAGCACGAAGAGGGGGAGCATCGCATACTGACGCCGCTCGACGCACCACACAGGACAATCGCAATTCCTGACCACGCCTGTCCTTGCAAAGCCCCTCAACTTTGGCGACCTAAGCCTAGACGACCGCACCTATGACGACGACATCACAGCAGGCCCCAAGAACAGCGACGCGCGCCTCATGGAGATGATTGCCGCACAAGCCGCCCACCGTGTTGGGCCCGGCTTCGACGACGAAGAAACAATACTGTCAAACGAAAAGTTGTCCGAGGATGAGAAGAAGGACTCGCTGCAGAGAGCTCTGAACATGGCTGCCAGCAATGGCGACGTCGAGAGGGTCAGCAGCATCGTGAGCGGCAAGGCAAAGGCTTATGTCGATATTAATGCGCCGGACGAAGACGGAACCCCGCCACTGATATATGCAAGCTGTTTTGTGAGTTAACGCTTGACGGAGGGGGGGAAGTGCTATCGCTGACTCGGATCCAGGGCCACGAGGGTGTCGTGCAAGCGCTCATCGATGCTGGCGCCGACGTCGACAAGCAAGACCGAAATCAGTGGAGCGCTCTTATGTGGGCGATGACGAATAGGCATAAGAGCATCGCCAAGACTCTCCTCGACAACGGTGCTTCGGCCGAACAAAAGACGTCGTCTGGCCGGACGGCCTTCGACTTCGTCCCTCCCGACAGCGACATGTCCTTCTACCTACATGATAGCGGCTACAATATTGGAAATGCTGGCACCGACGACTTCTACAACCCTGGGTTTTCACAGGATCGGTTCGAGGAAGAAATGGCCGAGAACGAACTGCGGAGGCGGATGATGATGGACAGCGCCCGAGATCTTGAGGTCGACTTGGGCAATGTTGGCATGGATGACCAGCCAGAGGTAAGCTACGATCAGGCACATCTCAAAGGTCTACATGTTGACGTGCGCAGAACTCCGAGGAGCTTGAGGAAGAGCAACCAGAGTTCGAATGGTCTCGCTGTCTTCACGACCAGATGTTTGTTTTCCAGGAACACGAGCTCGACCGCATTCTCGACATCATCATTACGAATATGACGCCCCAGCGATCACCAGCACAAAAGCCTGTACCGGCGAACATGATTTTCTTAAGCGCACGATATGCACACTACCACTCCAGCCCCGACCTCCTAGCCAAGCTCATGATTTCGGCCATGGACAAGATCAACGACGTAGTCGAACAGTATCAGTGGGACATGACGATACTGGCCTTCTGGATATCGAATGCCACTTTGTTGCTTCACTACCTGAAGAAAGACGCCGGGCTTGTGGAGGCCACGGTCGAGTTCCAGGCTCAGCTGTCCGAGCTCATCAACGAGATATTCATCCTCATCGTGCGGGACGCCGAGAGGCGCTTGGACAAGGTGCTTGACGCAGCGATGCTAGACCACGAAACCATCCCAGGCTTCGAAGACATTGCGTTCCAGAACGAGTGGAGGATCTTCAAACGAAAAGCACAAGTCAAGGAAGAGCCCATGGAGAAGCGCTTCCGACCCCCCTCCCCAAAGCAACGGGCGAAGCCTGCTCCGCGCAACGTCACTTCACTACTCTCATCCACCTTGTTTGTTCTTGATCTTTATGATATCCACTCAGTTATTACGGCGCAAATCATCTCTCAACTTCTCTACTGGCTGGGGGCTGAGCTCTTCAACCGCATCATGTCCAACCGAAAGTACTTGGCTCGGACAAAGGCGATGCAAATCCGCATGAACGTGTCAACGCTGGAGGACTGGGCTAGGACCAATAACCGCCAACCAGAACACTATGAAGGAGGTGAGACAAAGTCCTCGGGTGAGACGACCATAGACGCTGCGAGGCGGCACATGGCCCCCGTCATCCAGCTGCTTCAATGGCTGCAGTGCTTCTCGTCACTAGGCGCCGACGACCTCGAGGCCTTGGTCGGTACCCTGCAGCAGTTGAAGAGGTTGAGCCCGCAGCAGCTCATACATGCGGCTTCTCATTACAGGCCGGAGGTTGGCGAAAAGGGGTTGCCTAAGAGCGCTCTCAAGTATCTCAACGCAATCCAGGCAGAGCATGTTCGGAGGAAGGAGGATCGCAAGAGCAGCGCACCGTCAACACCGATCAAGACGAAGCCCGCAAACGGCGGCATAGGGGGAACGCCTGGAAGCCAGACGGCGACAAAGACACCAGGAGCTGACGAGAGTGACGAAGAAGAGGACGATGCGCCGGAGAACCTGCTCATGGACCCGGCTATGATGCTACCCTTCATTCTGCCATCAGTCACGGATATGCTAGTCTCCTACGGCGCTGGCTTCGGCGGCGTCAACAAAGAGAGGGCACGCAAATATATCCCCACGGTACCGCCCGAGTTCCTGTCGAAGCTCGAAGCTAGCGGCGCGCGGAAGGGCCCGATGTTTAGTGAGAAGGACTGGGAGAATGAAGAGGTCTGAGAGAGAAAGAGAGAGGCAAGCCTTCCAAGGGCGGACAAAGTATATGAGTAATGGGAATCAGCATTCGACGTTTAACGGGTTGTCCCATCAAGCGCCACAGCGCAGAACACCACACAGCATTAGGGGCATTGGTGAACAGACGAGTTCCGAGCTTTTCCAGGACATGACAGCAAGTAGGGCAAAAATATCCCGATAAGCATAGCGTTTGATTGATTCGATGGGGGCAGACGGACGATGCAAGGGGAAGCAAATAGGGTCCATTGCCATGTTGTGATAGTCCCTGAGAGGAGCGCGTCACAGAACGAGGGGATTCGATGCAATGGAGGAGGTCATGGTACGGAGTAACAGCTCGCGCTGGGCTGTCTGTAGGTAGAAGCGCTCAGCGATGGGAGTAGAGATATCCAGTCTATTACCAAGATAATTGGTACATATGTTCTCCTCCCGCTCTCGTTGACTCATACTGGATTGTGCTCCCCCCCCCCCCCCCCCAAAAAAAATGTTAGGTAGCTCTATGGCATTGGAGAAGGTAGCAGCCCCCCACTCTACCCTTAGGTTTGCGCTGTTCGTGGGCAAAGCGGGGAGCATGGAGAAGGGGTCTTCACTGAAGAGAGGAGAAATACAGGCACCGCGGATTTTGCGCTGCGAATAATTCGTCCGAGCCAGCGGTTCCCCCGAGTTTGGCTTGAGCCACGTCGACGGAACACAAAAGGAGTCACGAGTTGTTTTCGAGATCCACGACGGAGATCCACGATGGAAAGCCGCGGTTCACGTTCACTCCCTCTACTTGACGTGGTATGGAGAACCGAGGCGCTTACAGATTACTCAGGGCAGAACTTTTTCGCTGCTGTACGATTACACTATATGGCCTTCTGTGGACCTTGGAACGAACATCTTGTGTTGGCCATGTGTGGGACGACCCGGTGACACGGAAAAGGGAGGGGGGGCAAGCGCCTAGGGTAGGGAGGGAAGGGGTGCGGAGGACCCTGAAGTTCGAATTGGGGAGGGGCGAGAGGGGGAGGGGGAGGTGGTGAAGTCGAACCCAATGCGGGATATTGAGATGTTGTTCGGAGGTAGGTACTGTGTGTCCGTAGCAAATGTCTCGGGTCCCTCCGACTAGAATCGTACCTAGCATTCGTTCCAATCAGTGAAGTAGGTATTGGAATCAATCACCCATTGGCTGGGCCTCGTCGAGGAAAGTGTCACTCGCGGACTAGGAGGTGCCACGTCAGATCTTTGTTCCTGGCGCCGTGCTGGGCTTGGCTGGCAGAGTATCCGTACACTGGACCACTGCACCTATCCCTCTCGAGGGAAGCGGGCGGGCAGGCAGACGGGCTCTCCAAAAGAGTTGACGAAAAAAGCGATGGAACGCAAACGCTGTTGGGTGCCTGGCTCTGTGTGATTTGCCAACTGGTCGAGATGTGCTTCGTGGGACGAACCGGGGAACCGCATGGATAGAGCCGGTCGGGAAGCTTCCGTTTGCTTCTGAAAGGTCTGGATCTGTTGTTTATTGTTGTACGGGGCACGAAGGCGTGACATGTTTTGATCCCGTTGCGTTTTGGAGTAATTTGTCCGGGAATTGGAGATGAGAGGGGGAAAGTCTTGAGGCTCAGCTCGAGCGATATTGCGCATTCTTGGGAATCGATTTGCTTTGCATCCCCCAAAACAGTAAGGTAAGGTGCCTGAGCGAGCCTAGGAAAGACAAGAACCGAAATGCTCAGAAACTCTCATTTCATTTCAAAACCCCTCAGATTGGCTTGGACATGGATGACGCCAAAGACTCTTCCCAATCCGTATTCGTCCGCGATTTCAGGTCAATGTGAAAAGGGAGAAGAACCCAGAGTTTCTTATACGTCGTCGTGATCGTACATGGGTACGAACGTAGGGCAACTGGAAGTCAACAAGTCAATAAACGTCGCTCGGGCCAACCATGGATGCTACCAGCTTTCCGGCTCATGTACGTACCTTTTATGGTAACTAGGTAGGCAACTAGGTTCCCCTGCTCGTCCTACTTAGACCTCTAGCGGTGTCTCTGAACTTCTGAAGGACATGGAAGGCTGAGACAGAGGGCATTTGGTGTTGATCCAGACGAGCCGCAAGTCGCAACAGAGTGCCTGTCGATCAAGGGAGGACTTTAAGCTAGCCGTATCGTGTGTTTACTTGCGATGATATGCGGCACGGCTTCAGGCTTCAAATAGAAGACTACCTCGGGCCCGGGAGCAAGGGATACGGAAAGCCTGTCCATGGGATGGGGACGACTCGGATTGGTCGCCAGACGAGCAGTACTCCAGTACTTAGCTATCGTCATGTCGTAGATTGATGGAATTGGCGCTGCGGGAGGCTACAAAGGCTGACAAAGAGACCTGGTTGCAAACGGAGGGAATCCGGGGTCAAGTGCAGAGGCGCGTTTGTTTGCATTGGGTGTTGGTCGTCGGAAGGCCTCGTTCCCGTTTCTTCTCATTTCTTCTTCTCTTCATTTTCCTTGTCGTAAATTGGCAGGTCATGAGAGACATGTTTCCGATAGCCCATGGAACCAGTGGATCGATTGAGACTCTTTCGAAGATCAGTGAGCAATTAATGACGGCCGACTCCCACCGGCGATGCAGGAGCCGAGATGGGAAGGTCAAGAGATGCGTTGCTCTTCGCCATGATCCGCCAAGTCAGACGTTGGAAATTTTGGAAGATGGAAATCTCGTGCTCCATCTTCACCTTGAACAAGTGTGACCGCAATCTACCACTGCCTCCGCCGGCCGTATTTGTGTCGCCAAGTAGAGATGGGCGTGTAGCTGTGTATCTCCTAGGCAGAAGGGAGATCAAACGGGCCAACCACCCGATAATCCATGTTGCACCGTCGTCGGTTGCCGTGGTTGTGGTCGCGTTGAGACTTGAGATTTGGCGGTCATGAAGAAACCAGCCATGCGAACGGAGCTCGTCATGCAGCAACGTGGGTCCGTCAATGACTGACTGACTCCAAGTAGCGGTCTCTGTTGCAGAGATGAAGAAGAGAAAGATAGAGCGCTTCACCGACTCAATGGCAACGGCCTGGCGACGAGGGTGAATTTGTGAAGTATCCGTACGGCCCGTCTTTTCTCTCCCTTCCTTTGGGTAGGGACGCATGGACAGATGGCGGGAACTGGGGCCAATGACCCGATCAAGACTCGTTTGCTGTACAAGGCGACATGGGTTGTTGGCGATGTGGTTGATTGACTGACGACGTCTTTCTCTTAGATTTGTACAGTTTCACCCCCCGTCGTCTTCGTTATTTCTTTTGTGCGAGTATTGTGTTTTTCTCATGCGCACATCCACATGAAGTGAGTTTTGTACCCGGCTACATTGCACTTTATTGCCAATTCCGTCCCCAGGCCATGGTTACAACTGGCAAACAATTTGTGCCTGGAGGTTCAAGGACGACGGACGGCCCTTCCTCACAAGTTCAGACGACAACACCCACTTGCCAAATGTTGAAGCCGGGGGGGGGGGGGTCCACTCGGGCTGGCCCAGCCCAGGGCTTCTGTCTGTCCAATTAAATACTGTGTTATGGTGGGACAATCGCCCTTCTGGGACGAAAAGCTGCCAGCATATAGAGACCCAGTGGATAAGGTACTTGCCAAGTTGCCAACCATTCCGATTCCAGGAATGTGCTTGGGAGTACGTACCTACGTGCCTTGAGACAGAGAAGCCCTGTTCTCGCTAGGAGCGCATTCCCCACCCCCGACCGCCTCCAACGTGTTGTGGACTTGAACTTCCAATGTGGTCCTGGTGCCGGGCCACTACCGCGATGTACTGCTGCCACCGCCGCTGCCACCGCTTCCTGCATTTGCAACCCGACCCTGCTGGGCTGGAGAGACGATGGTCATGAGCCTGTTACTCATGCCGTTTTCTGTTCAATCTGACGAACGCGGCAAAGACGGCTGGGTGTGTAGGAAATAGAGGGGGCACGTTGGTACGGGGGGGAAGCAATTGTGGAAGAAAGAAGAGAAAAGAAAGGATGCCCTGCTGTCTCTCTTTTTCCCCAGCTTAGTTATTCATACCCTCCTCCTTCTCAGCTATCTCGAGTCCGGACCTTGAATTTTGCACATTCACCACTTCATGTCCACACTGCCTCACGTATCCTTCTTCAGCTTCAAGAAACTTTCCTGCCTGCACCTACCTTAGCGTTTATTCATCCTCCCAAGACGCACCTCCGATAGACCACACGCCTTTGAGCACCCGCTTGACTCCAAAAACCCCACGACGAGATTCTTTCCCGTCACCCAACGGATCTCAACAAACCGACCTCACTCACCTCAAAAAGGTAGCCAGTCCTCCCTACCAAGCATTCCTCCACCTCCGGCGTAGTATTAAAAAGTATCTTAACACCTGTTTCTTGCTCAGTCTTACCTTGGACTTGCTGGTCATTTGCTATCTAGCACAGACGCAGACTCGCTCAAGTGACTTGACTTACACAGAGAACCACACCAAAGCAGAGAACCACACCAAAACTCGCGAGCGTCGTCCTTGTCATCGCCGACCTCATATCCCGCTTGCTCCTACGAATACACATCCATCCCTCGACTATCGCCGCACGTGTACGAATACGTCACGGTCCTGCTGCATTTGCCTCAAACAACCTTCTCTTGGGTTGTTGTTGGAATTGCATTGCATCCCGCCCTCATTCCTCACCTCGGGCTCTTCATCTTGTTTGCCCAATCGAGCTAGCGCCCATCTAGTCCCCAGGTCTTAATTTGGCACACCTGAATCCCAAGCTTACGGCCCTCAGCGCGCTCGACGGTGAGCCACTCACCCTCCACTTATATCGTCACCTCACCCGCCTTGGCCGCCTTTCCACTCCATCTTGCTTCAGTTCGACGCCGGCATCTAGACATCGCGGCTCGGCCTGCTACTGAGCAGTTGAGCACGGTCTGATCGGTCCCAAGCTACACCCACACACGCCCCGGCCGGAGCACCCTGAAATATCACGCTATGGCACCCCAAAGATTCGCCAGTATGCGCTTGAAGTCCCGGCCTACGCTCGTACCTTTCAAGGACGATGCTAGCCTCATTGCCCTTCGCTACGAGAAGACGGTCCAGGCAGAGCCTCCCATCCCTATTCTTACACGACTTCCCCAAAGATCTCACTCCTGTTCAACGCGCCGAACTTCCACTTCTGCATCATCATCGACCTTCTCAAGTCCGCCTTCCAGCCCCGTCGTTGTTGCTCCTCCGCCCGCCATCGACCAGCATCCTGCGTTTCGTTCCCGCGCTGCGGCCCGCAATACTACGGTAAACGATTGGAAGAGAGATTCAGGGCTGGCACCTACTGCATCGTCTTCAGCGACTATTGCAGAGGAAGACTGCGAGGACGAAGAGAGCCGTGCATGCGCCAAGATTGCTGCTCTGGAGGCCGACACGATTGTTGTGCAACAAACGGAACAACCTGTGACACCTTCGGTTTGCGAAAGTACTTCCGTCGATGAATTGCTTCTGAGCAAACGAATCTCTGGTCGTTGGTCCACGCCTTGCATCGGCAAAGAGGTCGACAGCATGGATCATTATCAAAATGTGCAGGTCGAAATTGCGCTTGCGGAAAGAAAGAAATCTGGGAGTATTAGCAGCACCTTATCGGTCGATTCTCCCGTTGAGTTGCGGGACAAGAGTCTGGGTGACCTATCACCTGCATCGGCGCCAATCATCTCCCATTCGCGGTCCTCATTTGCAGCCTCCGATGACTCGCCTAATTTCTCCCCTGTCAACATCCACGAAGACTTCCAACTCCTGAGCAAGGATGCCTCTTACTTCTCTCCCATTTCAGTGTCCATCCCCACGGACAACCTCCTCGAAGATGACTTCCTAACAACTCTGTCTTTCTCCAATCGAGGCAGTCTCATGTTTGGTGGTCTTCGCGCGTTCCCCGCACAAACCACCGACGGAACAATGGATGGACAGTCGCAAACGGACAAAGCACACTCGCCTCCGCCAAACCCCCCTGCTGATGCCCCTGCATCAGCCCCAATCCTCCACATTCAATACGAAGAGCCGCCCCAGTCCACTGCCGTCAGCACCACTGAGACCAGCGCGAACCACCTGAACGCCACCGACACAACTACAACCGAAGCAACGACGGGAGAGACGACCACGACTGACACAACGACGGCAGAGACGACTGCAGAGTCGGCCTCGCAAGCCACAATGACGACCCCCAGCATCTGCGTCTTGTCCGCGGACGTGGAGATGGAATCTCGAAAGGTGAGATCGCTCTATGAATCCGGCGAAGGCCTCAGATGGGAAGACGGAGCCCGACCGTCGGATGTTGGCGAGCGTCTCAACTCGACCGCCGAAACTCCGACGGAGGAGGTCGAAAATGATCCGTATGGTTTCCTTTTGCCCGGATTGTTACCCGACCAGTACGCTAACGTGTCTCCTGTCTGCAGCGTCGCCGAACTCCAGCCTCCCGCTTGGGGAACTCCAAGATCTGGAAGTTCTTATTCCCAACGACCCGAAACACGCAGCGAGTATGAGGTGGCCGGTGGTCTTGAAGACTGGGAAGACCTCGAGGGATACGACATCGACCGTTATGGCTTCATCAGCCCGCGCAAGCCAGAGAAGAGCAACGGCACACCTGCTGAGCCTAGATCGTCGCAGTCAGCGCCCAGAAGGAAGCACGTCTTTTCAAAGCGAGATGCCTTTGGGTTGGGCTTGCCATCCAGAGGACCCGGTAGGAAGGTGTCCGCTCGATCGCTCAATACTCAAGGATCCAAGGCTTCGGTTGCGTCTCGTCGGTCGACCCGATCCGCAATCAGACAAGCAGGAAACCTGCTCCCACACAATCGCGATCGACGATGGATGGACGAGGCTGGAGAAATGCTTTCGCTTTCATTGGGCGACGAAGAGAAGGTAGAGAAAATCTCCGAGGCCATTAAGAAGAAGGAATGGGAGAGGTCTGAAAAGTGGCGTAAAATGGCCAAGATCGTCAAGAAGGGGAAAGACGGCGAAGGCATGGAATTCGATTTCGATGTTAAGAACCAAAAGCTCATCGACAGGACGTGGAAAGGCATACCCGACCGATGGAGAGCATCTGCCTGGTACTCGTTCATGGCAACCAGCGCCAGAGCTCACAAGGACTCCCCGTCTGAGGATTCCATCATCACCGACTTTCATCGCCTTCAGTGCAGAGGCTCGCCGGACGATGTGCAAATCGACCTGGACGTTCCACGCACCATCAGCAGGCACGTCATGTTCCGGAAGCGCTATCGAGGTGGTCAGCGCTTGCTCTTCCGAGTCTTGCACGCGTTATCGCTTTATTTCCCGAATACTGGCTACGTTCAAGGCATGGCTTCGTTGGCGGCAACGTTGCTCTGCTACTTTGACGAAGAGAAGTGTTTTGTCATGCTCGTACGCATGTGGCAACTACGGGGCCTAGAGAAGCTGTACAGTCCTGGCTTTGACGGCCTGATGGCAGCTTTGAACGACTTTCAAACCAAGTGGCTGGATGGCAAGGACGTCGCCAAGAAGCTGGTAAGACACCCGCGCGCCTTTCAACCGATGACGTTAGACTGACCGTTTCTAGACTGAGCTCTGCATCGATCCTACAGCCTACGGTACCCGATGGTACCTAACACTATTCAACTTATCCATCCCTTTCGCGGCTCAGCTCCGCGTTTGGGATGTCTTCCTACTTCTTGGAGAAAACCCAACAGACTCCCCCAAAGTCCCTGAATCTCCCGTCACCATGAACGGCATCGACATTCTGCACTCTACCAGCGCGGCTTTGATTCATGCACTGCGAGACGTTCTTCTTGACTCAGACTTTGAGAACGCAATGAAGGCTTTGACCTCTTGGATTCCGGTCAAAGATGAGGATATCCTGATGAAGGTGACACGAGCTGAGTGGAAGGCCAGACAGAAGAGGAAGTAGAAACTCTTGTTTCTGCCGCCTACTTAAGCGTTGGTCGGCCGGCTCGTTCCCACATTTCCTTTGTTTTTACACCACGACCTTCGATTTATGGATATGCGTGCATGGCGTTTATGGAGTCGGTTATGTTGACTTCGACGCATGTCGTCGACCAATACCCCGGGATGAACTGCAAACCTCGTATCTGCTGTTACGGGGGATTTCATTTGTGCACTTGAAACGAACG